TAAATCTATTAATAATTTTCGATATATATATTAAGATACTACGGTCCTCTGATTAGTACTAACATTCATCGATGGACTGGACGGTAGGTTGTTTAATTAATTTAATTATTTAATAATAAATATCTCCAGTTAAACTTCAGCAACAGTAGTCTACTAGTCTACTAACAGGTGGCGTTGACTTCCGTGTGTAGTCTAGCTTATGTCTAGACTACCGCTCTGACAAGAACTTCAGTGCTATACTATACTTAGAATCTACGTAGATTCTAGATCAATATATCTACTAGCTAGATCTAGATCTATTCTAGATATAATCTAGATTCTAGTTTTGTATAGTATAATATAAAATGAAGTGGATTTGCCCCCACTAAAAACTACTGGAGTCTACTCGAATGGCCAATGAATTATGAAAAAAAACAGCACTTTAATTTTGCTGTAGTATCTAGACTAGATTCTACTTTCTCAGAACAAATGAAATTGAAATGAAGAAAAAAATGGCCGTCACGAGATTCAATTTTTAGGACTAGATTTCTAGATCTAGATCGTTTATATTCAAGTAAATACTAGCGATTTTGGCGTTTTTGCTTGAGGTCAAAAGCCGCGAATGCATAGTAATGAAGTATGGCATTGCCGCATTTCGTACGAAACTCAAAACCAAGTTCGTTACCAAAATCATAGTCGGCAAGTTTTAAGTTGTAGGTCACTCGTAACATGGCCCCAACTACAACTAGATCTAGACTATTATAGGTTTTTACACAAACAATTTCTTCATGAACGAACCCACGAAAGTTAAGTTAAATTAAACTTTAGTTTAGTTAAAGGTGGGGTGGGGGGGGGGGGGGTTAACTGTGTGTACGGCAGCATACCAATCAAGATAACCTACTGGTATACGAATTGAGCCCCAAACGAATGGTCAGTTGTAGAATCCTCTGCTGGTTTTTTTTAACCGACGTCAGTAAAAAAAAAATAGATCAATACAGAATTTCAGTAACCCATTAAGGCTAGCCGTTAACCGCTGTTAGCTAACATTTTGACATGAATTTGTTATATTGCATTTGATGTTATTTTATTGTAGTATTTTAGTATTTTCTTTAATTTATTCTTGAACTTGAACAATTTATAACTTTAATCAACTTTTCTGTTTATTTAGAATGGTTAATGTAACTGGGGGGGGGGGGGGAGTGGATGCTTCAGGAGAGAGTCAGAGAAAGAGAGAGAGAGCATTAGTATTAGTAGAAAAGTAAAGTGGCGCCTTTTAAAAAAATATTTGAATTGTAGGTCTATTCTATTAACTTAACACAAGCTGCAACAAAGTCACGTACAATCTTATAGCTTTGTTTGTTATGGTCTGGTCGTTTGCTTGGGTGTTCTAGTTCTAGCATGTCCTTCAAGACTCCGCTCTATCAGTTTTTCATTGAATGCAGGTGGAAACAAATCTTCATAATGTGAAAATATCCTGTACGTTTTATTAGTAGAAGGCTTAGAAAGTCTTGATAAGAAAGTTTCCCATTTGAACCTTTCGCTTTTTGAAGAAACTGTTAAACTACTGGCTATCATCGTATCTTTAGGATGTTAGTTACTTATTTAAAAATAAAAATATCTCTGAATTATAAGTATAGGCAATATAAAGTCAGGAAAACTGACTCGCTTTGGTTATGACCACAACTTCCCCACCCCCCCCCGTTAGCTAGCTTGTCTAAATACAAGCGTAGAGTGGTCAGCATGGTTTGTAAAGTTACCCCAGCCTCAAAATCGTAGGCTCACACGAATTCGGTTTGTCTGCTCTCTTCATAATCCAGTCAAACGTGGAAAGGGTGAGGAATGGACCCTAAAAGAGACCTTTTCGTGTTTATTTTTCATCAGCGGAATGTAGTTTGTGAACATCGGTGATTCTGATGGACTTACCATCGTAAGAGTTGACTGTTGTTGGGTGTAGCGACGTTGGGGAATCGTTTAAAGCGTCCAGTTTACTAATGAAAAAAATCTTATTTTATCTTTATGTTTTTGCAAAATAGTAGATTGTATCTATAAGTTGACCTTCCACATACTCATACATAAATACTGTGGCAAGTGCATCTGTCATATTCTATCATTAAAAAATTACCAGTTGGGCTCACGTTCCAGAAATTTTGAAAACTATAAAAAAACAAATCTGTCTAATATATCATTACTGCTCTTGGATTTAAAAAAAATGTCAACTTTTCCTTGAGAAAGTACTAAAGGATATTGGATGTCGCAATTCGTACATTTATTGTATCTTTCACGTCCACTGACACCGAAAGATTCCTCAAATGAGAAAGAATATTGATAAAGTTTTTTTTTTACTATCATAACAATGCAAGAAAAGCCACTTTTTTTTTAGTAAGAGATACTTTTGGTAGCATATAACCCTCAGCATTTTGTGATACAACTTATTTTTATCACTTTTTAAAGCCTTAAGATCATTCCCTCCCAGGCCAAACAGCCTACTTTGGTAGCTTAGAATAAGTGCCAGATTCGCTCACACTGAAAGCATGAGCGTTCTACGAGTGCTTTGAAGCACATCGCAGTGGGCTGGTCTTCTGTTACACAGGAGCATTAGTGTCGACGGTTCCTAGCAAAAATTCATCTTATGAGACGGTCCCTTATTGAGGGGTCCATTCTGTTAGATGGTGATGTGTGGTGAAGTATGACTTCAAGCGTCCCGATTTCTTACTGAAACTAGAAAACATGTAAAACCTGAGGGGGGGGGGGGGGATGGGTGGTGGTGGAGGGAACCAAACGCCTGAAAGTTCAGTTTGCGTATTTTTCGGCGATAGGTTAATGTTACCTCCCTAATGTTCCCGTTCCTTCAGGGAACCCAGCCACCAACAATTGTCTTACTAGTTAAGGTGTTTTAGTATTTGCAGATAGTCTTAAAGACTGATAGCTTAAGACAATACGGTGGACTACACGTCACCCACCAAACGGAGCCCCTAAAATCAATTTTGGTTTCTAAGACCACCCCTAACCCGACGCACTACTTATGTAGGCCGCTGGCTCCGAGTCAAATCTTGCTCGTGCAGCCAAATGATCATTGGCACATTGAATGGTCTGCCTACTTTTCAGATACAGAATTGGGAGTGACTATGCTGGAATAATAAAGGGGAAAAAAACGCTAGGATTATTAGCAGTCAAATGCCTATTTTGAGGTTCTAACAACAGTAATAGGGGCGGCGTTGTCTAGCGGTAGAGAGCTAAACTGCAAAACAGAAAGGCTCGAGTTCGAAACAGATGAACTCTACTTCATCTGTGTGCATTTACACATAAAGTATGTTGTTGTTCTGATCGCAGTACATAATAACAAATAATTATATGGTGGGTCTACGACTAATTACCGAAAGACACTTATTCGGGTAAACGTTTATTTGGACGTTTGTCACATTCGGGCAAACGTCCATTGGGCTAAACGGCCTCTCGGGCCAACGGCATTCGGCAATTGTCTTTCAGGAAAACGTCCGGCTCTCATCTTTAACGACATAACTGCCCTCCTTTGCTTTATGTCGTTATATCTTACAAATTAAGTTACATGTTATATGCCTAATTAAAACATTTCTCTTAGTTTGTCTTTAGTTGTTTTTTAATTATCCCTTTCAAACACTAAAAATTGCTTTCGACCCAATCTCTCCCCCCCCCCCCACCCCCCAAAACCCAACCACACTATGCCGTACTATACAAATGAGTTTGGCGGCTGTAACAGATGGGGGAAAAGTTGAGAGCTTTTGTGATTCGAAATAGCTCTGGGGTGATATCACGTTGCTGGTGTTTTCGGTGTGTTGAGATTGTAACACCTTGTAGCTTCTGTTTCCGTCCACAATATGGGGCCAGTTGGGAAAATGTTTGCTTTTGTTTGTTCCGTCAAAACTCGAATTGGTGTAGATTTTGTGGGAGTTGACAGTAATATATGGGGCTTAGCTTTGAAACATATCATACATACTTAGCCAAACATTTCTTCCTTCCTTTTCTCTTTAAAAAAAAATGAAGTTCTAACAACACTACTGGATTGTAAATTTTGGAACACCTCTAAGATTTGAACATATATTGTTTTAGTAACGAGTGTATCGTTTGTAATTTAAATACCTCCTCTATACTTTGTATAACAGAAAGTAAAAAATGCATCATTTCCCAAGCATAAACCTGTAACGTATGAGCCCACTTCACCAAGCAAAAAAAAAAAAAGACAATTATTTTTAGACAAATTTTTAACACCTTAAAACAATGCTCGCATAATAACTTGGCTCACCAGCCAACATTTGGTGTGTGTGTGTGAGAGAGAGAGAGAGAGAGAGAGAGAGAGAGAGAGAGAGTGTGTGTGTGTGTGTGTGTGAAAAAGTGCATAAACTCAATTTCCTCAATCTTTCTATGAGAACATTTTTTTTAATCTCACAAAAAAGCTTCTAAGGAGAAAACACCAACACCAATATTGGGATTATAGGTTAACTCACTGTGTTCAATAATACTATTACCGTGCTACCATGTTAATGCATACGGTACCTCACCCTCATTTGTATATATAAAAGCATATATATATATATATATATATATATATATATATATATATATATATATATATATATATATATATATATATATATATATATATATATATATATATATATATATACATGCTTATATACAAACGCATTTTGTATTGGAAAAATATCGCATTTATCGAGAAAATATCACATAAAAAGTATGCCGACGTATATTTTATGAAAATTATTTCTTTAGAAAAGCTAAAAAAAAATAGTGGAAGGGGGGTGTTTTGAGAGAAATACACAATTATAAAAAATCGTAACAAACAAATAGAAATAATAGAGGAGAAAAAGCGAATTTCCCCCACCCCGCAAGAGAGGCGAGGGCTCGGGATTGGCCCGCCACTAGCGCCAGATGCTGACTCCACGGGCCGTTATTGACAGCCATTCTGCTTGCATCTGATTGGTTGTTGAGAACGTAGGATTAGTTTACGGGCGCTCTGGCCTAATGCTATTTATGCTGAGGTCATGCAGTAAGGCGATCCATTCAATAAGCGTGAGCAGAACTGGCTTGCGTCCCGACTTCGCGTGCTGCCAGACGGAATAAAACATTGGTGTTCCATTGAAAGAAAAAAAGTTTGGATTTTTACTTACTTCTCGAGCCTTCGGTTTTAGTTTATCTGTGTTTTGTTGTTTGGATTTACTAAAGAAAATAAGAAATTTATCTAAATGCAGGTATGTACTCACGAATATGAGAAGATGGCTTCATTGTTTCATATAGTTCTATTTGTATCCCTTTTATGCTTCAGTGGTGATAACTGCTTCTACTTCTTCTAACTGTGGTAACTTGCTATTGAAACCGTGTGATATAGTGGCAGTACAGAACAAAGGACTACCATACTTCACAATTCCCTCCAGCTGCAGTGGTATGGCCCAAACCTGCAGTCAAAATAGCTATCCGTTGTGTGCACCAGTCATGGTAAGTTAGGGTCAAGCCACTTTTTGCTCACCTTAAACTTCTCTGCTGGTTTTCCTGCTGCTAAAAACGATCTTTAAAAAGTTCTGCTTCTGTAACTGGGCCACTGAGGTTTCCTTTTTTTTTTAGTTGACCCCTGCCGTTGTGTTGGTCGGTTCGTGATCCCAACTTACCTGTGTTGAGCTGCTCACTCTCCGCTACTGTTTATTTTGCTTGGTGTCTGTCGGTGCTCCTGGTCAATATTTATTTCGTACCCTCGTATTTTACTTCTGTCTAGCTTCAACATACTTGCTTGGTTTACCTCGTCTAGTCATTCATTATCATTTATTTTCTAATACAACATTCATTTGTTTACATTTGTCATGCTTAAATTTTTTAATAAAATAAAATTATAGGGCTTACGTGGAATTATATTTTTAAACAGATTAACAATAATTAACCTCTTCTATAGTCTGCTAAAATAAAATTAACTTTTTATTCTGATTATCGTTAAAATATAAACTAATTATTAATTCTAATACGCAGTTAAATGATAACTGGATTTTAAAAAAAAATTACTTCTTTAGTAGCGTCGCGAGGGTAAATGGAACACTTGACATACGTGGTCCGTCTTGTTTCAGATCACTCTTGGAGACCATGCTATTATGGACCAGTCCTCTCAAGTCGGTATCACACAGAACGGGGGCACCACCTCCCCCTCTCACTCAGACGATGGCGTCAGTAAAACAAATCTCATCGTCAACTACCTACCACAAACTATGTCACAGGACGAAATCCGCTCCTTGTTTTCCAGTATCGGCGAGCTAGAAAGCTGCAAACTCATTCGTGATAAGCCAACCGGTATGTATATAAGACTTGCTACCCTTTTAAAACACTTCTGGGTCTCATTGACTGCCACCTCATACAGGGCGTGTACTGCCGTGCTCGATTTGCCGTATGACTCATTACCGTTTTAGTATAAAAAAAACGTGGTTATATTATAACCACAGTGGAAAGTTATATATAAGAAAGGGTTGCAGCATACCCCCAACCCAGGGCGAAATTAATTTATTTTCTCGAAATCCTTATTGACCATCGGCTGAAGCTTCGTCAAGTATTGCGACATTGATTTTTCCTCTCAGTGTTCAGCCTTTGAACATAATGGTTCATTTCACCTAGCCAGATGTTACCAGATGTGTTTCGTGTATTTAAATACAGCTAATGCTTTGCTATGGATAGGGAGGAGGGGAGGGGGGTTAAATATACTACCTATGTTCTCATAATTATTGGTTCTATGTCCGATCTTGTAAATAGGGTGGGGGAGGGTGGTGAGATTGGGAAAGATTAAAAGAACGGGGGTCGAATATCTCATTTTTAATTTACGCGTGCTAGTAAAGAAATAATACTGCGCCGTAACAAAGGCCTGGCCGGCTGTAGGTGAGCAGTTGAGCGTTAAGGAATCATCTTTGTCAGATGTGTGTCGTTCATTTTGGGGGGAGGGGGGGGCTTTAGATTAAAGGACAGGCAGCGGGGTGAAGTGGGGTGGGCACGCGAGGGCCCTATGCACCGGTGGCGCGTGTCATAGCGCGTGCGGACATTGTTCCCATTTAAAAGAGGGGCGAGGGGGGGGGGGGGGGAGAGAGAAAAAAAAAGCCGCCGGTTTAGTAACGAGCCAGCTGACACAAGACTTGACGTACAGCGGCAGCTGGTAACACGGTATTCAACTACACACATGCCTGGGTGGATGAAATATTTGTCAATGTCGCTACTACACCATTGGCCAACACGTAGGCATGGCCTGATATCATCACTTATTTAATGGGGGGAGGGAGGGGGGTGGACTCGATACATTGTTAATTAGGGGAGTGGTCGAAATTCATTTTAAAACCACCTCCCACGCTATTTTTCTTTGTCATCCCCCTAGCATTGGGTTCCTTTGTGAAATTTCCTGTTGAAATTATCGGCCACGTTTCTAATTTCTTCATTGTTTGGTAGGCAACTCCCCCCACCCCCTTTATGTCCGAGAAACCTTTAATTTTAGATTAATTAAATCCGATGTAATCCGATTATAGCCTTATAAGCTTACCACGGAGTCTATGGCAGTCAATGGAGCCTTGATAGGCTACATGCTTTTATTTTATATTTATATTTTTAAGTAGATTTTTTTAAATCAGAAATTATAAATGCTAGTTAAGTTATTATCTATTTACATAACTGGTAATTAAATAGAGCTTGATTTTAGACACTTGAATGTATTGAAGTTAATGACTGAAATTAAGTAGTTTATAAAACAGACTTCCATTTTTTAAGTTCAGCTTCTTAAAGTTAATACTTTAAATAACCAGTTCATAGAAACTTCACAATTGATGAGGCCTACCTAATTTCCCACTGAACAATTATGACACTTCACTAAAAAGGAGAAAGTGACACTAATTAATTAAAATATAAATAAGAATACATTCAAAGTTCAAAAACTCTTTTTTTCCCCCCAATAGCATTTGCTTCTAATTAGTTTATTTTCTTCACAAAGTCTGTTTCATAAGATTATTTACTTAGTGGGGGAAGGTGGGGGTAATGATATAATTAGTAATTGGCTAGGATGATTCTAAAAGATAATTACTGTTGTTATATCGGGTCTGGTGAGAAGCAGCTCTATGGGAGGGCAAATGACAGTCTTTTACCAATCAATAAAACACTTAGCCTGTTCAAACATGTCACAGTCATTACAGCACTCAGTGTGGGCTTGGTGCAAATGGAAGGGATTTTTTTTTTTCAAATGAGATAAAAAATTCACTTTAAAAATAAAAATAAAATGCATTGAAACCCTAAATATTAAAATTATATTTTGTAAACAGTAGGTTGTATGAATTGCTAAACTGTTGAATTTCAATAAATGAATACAGTTATTTCAAGAAATCAATACATTATAAGATTTTAAAAAATAAAAATGTTTATGATAATTTTTTTACTAATGCTTAAGTATTGGATAATAATATTGGATAATAATATTTAATAATAGATGCTTTAAAGATGTATACTTTACAATAAAGAATTAATTAAATAAACACATGCACTGACATATATGTAGATCTCTTTTTTTTTTTACCACACTAGCTTTACCAGTATTGGAAGCAATAGGTATGTTAAAAAATTCAATAATTTATCTAAACATTAATTCTAGGCCTATCTCAGTTGTACAGCAGCAAAAAAAAAAAAAATTATATTATTCTTTAAAAAAAATGGAAGTCTTGTTTATAGACAAGTATTTTTTGTTTATCATTAGAGTTAAAGTTTAATGCTGTTAATATTTAGTATTAGGCTGTTGTTGTGAGAGAGTGTGTGAATGAGAGCGTGTTGCACTTTAGTGCACCTCCAAATTTTTTGACAACCCATGTGAACTGATACAGACCCTCTGACTCCCTCCCCAGGGCAAAGCCTGGGATATGGGTTTGTCAACTACAAAAGACCAGAGGACGCGGAAAAAGCCATAAACACATTGAACGGCCTTCGGCTGCAGAACAAAACAATTAAGGTAAGAGACGATTTATTATTTTTTACTGTTTTTATTTTAATTTGGCCCTTTATTATAATTTCTTTATCAAATTTTAATTTTAAAGTTCTGTACACCCCACAACCTTGATACATTTTATTGTTTGGGTATTTGGATTTTATTGTTTATATTTTATTTAAAAAGTTAATTTGTTTGGATTTATGATTATTATTGTAATATTGCTAACAATCTTTTGATATGAGTGTACTGTATAAATATGTTTTTAGAACTAGCCATTAATTATATAGTCACATTGTTGTTTCTCAGCCCCTCAAAGTTGTTTCAGGTATCTAGTAGAAAAGTGGTTCACAAATTAGACACACATTAGGAACCTGATTAAATGAGTAATTAGATGAAAAACAAAGCAGCAAGTCTCCAAGTCCAAAAATGTCCTTGATGAGGAGTGATGGATGTCTTTCTCTCTTTAATTTTATTTGATTATTTTTATGTTTTTTTTTCAATATGTTTATTAAATTTTATTTGCTACTTATTTTCCTTCTCTTCATTTCAGGGTTTATTCGTGATTATACTTTGGTTGCTATCTCTTGAAAGTCTCAATTTTTCTATTCTTTCATTTATTTACTCACCAGTAGCCTTGGCAGCGAGGTGTGTCAATGACTATGATCTGTTTCAATTTTCTTTTCTCTCTTTATATTTTCCTGTGTGTTTTGTGAAAGAAAACTTCATTTCAAAACAGGTGGCACCTAGTCTAGTCATAAGATCACGGGAAGATTTTCAAAGTACCAACAGAAATGCTTGTATGTTTTACAGCATAAACCAAAGTTCAGAGCATGTAACGCCAGAGTTACTTATCACAAGAACGCAGGAAAAAAGAGTAGGAACAATGACTGAGTCCATTCTCAAGATGTCATGGTACATTCAGCAGCTGACAAAAACTATATGGTGCCATCCGTTTTTGTTTTATTAATTTGCGTTTTGGTCCCCTGAGTTTGTTTTGTTTTGCATTTTTAAAAGTCTCTGTTGATTTTCAGGTATCTCTTGCACGCCCAAGCTCTGAGAGTATTAAAGGAGCTAACTTATATATTAGTGGCTTGCCTAAATCTATGACACAGTTGGACTTGGAGGCACTGTTCTCTCAGATTGGAAATATCATAACATCAAGAATACTTTATGACCAAACCACAGGTACTACATCCATTATAGAAGCACAGTCAACCACGCTGTGGTGCATCAATGTTATGTTCCTCGGATAGTTGCTATGGAAAATTCTAAATTCCCACTCTTTCAATGAGGCAAATGGTGTGGGCCTGAGAAGCAAGCTTGCGTGATGTTTCCCTCCTTTACTGTAGCGCAGTTTGGTCACTGTTCATGCCCTCGAAACTGTATTTAGAAATGTAGATCCACTGTAAAAAGTGCATGCCAATTAACATACATAAGCATCCAAGGATTTCTTGATTTTAAATCCCTGTCTGGTAATCTTTCCATGTTCTGTTTGGTTCTGTCTTATTTGTTTCATCATTTTCTAATTTTCCTCTTTGTTTTTTTACACCATTGATTTCCATGTTTGGAACGTTATGTTCATGCAGGCTTCCTTTGACTAACTCCCCTTTCATTTGGCTGATTGATGTTGCCGGTAGCTAAAAATTCTGAGGAAGACATCTGGTGCATCATTGCCCAAGGAGGCAAAGCTATCCCCCACCCACACAGAGGGAATAAACATGAACTTTAACTAATTTTTCTAGGTATCATATGCAAGGCCCAGTAGTGAAACTATAAAAGGTGCTAACTTGTATGTAAGTGGGCTGCCAAAGTCTATGGCCCAGCAGGATTTGGAGAAGTTGTTCTCTCACTGCGGGAAGATAATAACGTCGCGAATTCTTTATGATACAAACACAGGTCAGGTGTTCTTCAGCGTCTACTTGTTTCCGTTACATAGTTTCTTTATTTCAATTTTCATTTCTATTCTTGATTTATTCATTTATTTTGCATGATGGTCCATATTTCTAGTTGTTCGAGCTCTTTTTGTTTTGTTTGAATATTACCTTTGTTTTCCTCTATATGCTTTATTTTTCACTATACTTGTTCCACTTTATTTTGTTTTCATTTGTACAAAAAAAGAATCATTGGCTAGAAGATTCTAAACTTTGATAAGAAAAGAAGATCTGAAACCTGTGAGGTAGAAAGCAGCTAGTTGTTTCTTCCCATGTGTTGATCTCACTTGAAGTGATACAGTATATTTACCTATATGAACCTGCATGTCATAGTTCTGTCACTGAATTGTCGACAGTTTCTCAGCAAGTCTCACCTCTTATCTAATCACCTGTTATAATGTTACTAACAGCTTAGGTACATTTTACTAAGTGCACTAATGTTGTTTGTTTTGTACTAAAGCACTCACTCTTGTTTTCAAAGCAAAAATCAGTTGTTAGCTGATTATATTTTCTTCCTATAATAACTAACAATAATGCATTGAGACTATAGAAGGGTATAGTCTGTAATATAAAAATGACTTCTGTTAAGACTTTGGCAAAAAATGTAGAGCTTTATGAGTGTAAAGAGAATTGTGATGTTTCTTGCATTTATTCAACTTAAGCTTTGATATTGTCAGTTGGTGTTGTGGACCAATAAGATTTTGTTTAACTATTTCTTCAAACTTATTAGTTTGAAACTGTGTCTTTTGTTTTTTTGTTTGTTTCTTTTTTTCCTTTCATTTATTGGAGTTATTGAAAGCAAAAACCTGTGGCATTTTCATTATGTACAAAAAGGATACTTATTGGGCCTTGTGTTGATACCTGGATTTTATACCGATACACATATGACTAATATGCCTTCTACTTACCTGTAGTTATCTTATTCCTTCTGTTAATGCATTCTCTTGATAAAATATACCTTATATTTTAATCTTAATTGCTTTGTACATGATGGAAATGCATGAGAATGCAATTTTGCACATTTCTTCAATTTATTAATTTATATCTTTACATCTGTATATACATAATCTTTAGATAGCATTCGTGATGTTTTAAGAAGTGTTAGTTTTAGATGGAAGCTTGAATTAAGGATTTGTTTTTAAACAGTAGGTCTACATTTAAATGTCCTACACTATATATGTAAAAATATTTTATTAGTGAGACTTAAAAACTTAAATTTTTTAATCTAGTAGAGATGTGTCGTGTACGTCACTTCTTTCTTTTTACCTATCATCACTGACTTAACAAAACAAACTTTTACAGGCTTATCCAAAGGTGTTGGCTTCATACGTTTTGATCAGCGATGTGAAGCTGAACGTGCCATTCAGAAGCTAAACAACCACATTCCTGAGGGATGCCTTGATCCCATTACGGTCAAATTTGCTAACTCTCCCAGCTCCAATAAAAATCTTGCTGGCATGGCGCCATTAGCCCTGGCTACCTATTTATCTCCGACCCATCGCAGATTCTTTGGGCCAATACATCATGCCACAGCCTCAAGCCGATTCAGGTGAGTTCAGTATTAAACTTTTACAACAGTTAAGCATATTTTTTTAGCGTAAAGGTTGGTAAATGAAGTACCTGTCTGATCTGGCAGTCCATATGACAGTTCATGTGGAGTTTGTTTCATTGACTTTTATATACCCAAACTGTGTAGTCAGCCTCCTTTACTTTCTCCAACTGGAGTCAGATACCCATCATAATTGGGCAGTCTCAGAGTTGTCCACAGATTTATTCTAGGGAGCCAAACTTTTTTATTTGTGCTCTACCACTTGACCACACTGTCTCATCATAGTAAAGACAACATGCTAATAACATTTTTATTTTAATTTCATTCATATTATTTGAAAATCTTATCATGGTAAAAATAAGATTTCTCATCTTGCCCTGAATTCAGGTATTCCCCTTTGGAGTCAGGACTGCTGCAGAACACTATTTTACCCACAACACTCACCACGGCAGCTTCAGCAGCAGCGGCAGCAGCAGCAGCAACAAACAGCAACTCATCAACCACAGCCCTCAACGCCACTGGCTGGTGCATCTTTGTTTATAACCTCGCCCCCGACACTGAGGACAGTGTCCTGTGGCAGCTCTTTGGACCCTTTGGAGCTGTCCAGAGCGTCAAAGTCATTAGGGATTTTACCACCCAGAAGTGTAAAGGATTTGGTTTCGTCACGATGACCAACTATGAAGAAGCTTTGATCGCAATACAGAATTTGAATGGATTTACCTTAGGCAACAGAGTTCTACAAGTGTCATTTAAAGCAAACGGACGAAAACCATGAACTGTATGTTAAACTAATTGATGACATTCTGCTTTTTCGGCAATACCTAGATCTTGAAACATAAAACCTACCTACCATACAATACAAGTACTAGTAAACGCAAGATACAATTTTGCACAAAATCTAATGGCTGTAATACCAATCTATTTATGATAAACCATGCTCTAATGATCCATTGCTCAGGACAAGAAAACATACCAGTGATATCTAAATTGTCTTTAATTTTTTTCTGGAACTCTGTTCTCATTATTCCATCTTCAGTGACATTAGAAAACACAAAACACAATCTTTCCAGTGAATTCCTTTCACGTTTTTAATAAGCCGTGGAGGAATCCTATTTTTAGAACTTGGGTGATATTTTCTCACAGTTCCTTGGGCTGACTGTAAATTTGTAAAATTTATCAAATTGTAAGGACATAATTTTAAAACTAATTTATAATCTTAGTCGTATTTTAACACTTGTTTTTTCTTTTAAATCTTAGTTTTAAAGCAGCATCTACAAGATTTTTGTGCATAATCAATATTCTTTTAATTGATTGTTTAATCTGTATAATTTGAGTTGGAATTTAATTTTAATGGTTGATTTTGATATTTTAACGTTTTCCATGTAAAGAAGTGGAAATCGGTAATTGCATAATACTATATGTTATGTATGGATGTATGTGAATCTCTGTGCTTCAGGTGCACGTAGAAGCTCAATCTCAATGTTCATTATGAACTTTTAGTTTATCATTTTATGCTTTTGTTTCTCTGTTGTTGGTTTTTTGATTTCTTTTATTCTTTCTCTCTCACTTTCTGTCTGTCTCTCTGAACAATGATTTTGTTCTATGGTTTTTCATTTATTAAACATTTTTTTATGTTAATCTCCTGAGTTGTGTTTTTGTTGTGGCATGAATCTCATGTTTTTTTTTTATGTTTACATTTGATTTACACGTGTGTTGTAACAAGCCAAGCTGTGCATTTAACTTCATCCACAGAGGTCTAGCATGACTTAGCTGGTGACTTGTCACAACATAACTTTTTTTTTTTTACAATTTTCAAACCATTTACTATTTATGTGTTTAATTTCCTTTGTGTTTGCTATTGTCATAGTGACTAATGTTCTAGAAATAACACTTTGTTGTGTTTACTGAAAGAAATCTAAAAGTAAAAAAAAAAAAATATCTGGTTGCATCCTTAGCTTCAAACAAAAAAAAAACCATTCTGTTGCATGAGTTTTGATCATAACCAAGGTACACCTTGTATCATGAAATAACCGGTTGAAATCATATTTGTTGTATAGTTTGTGAGGAATTGCTGAATTCAATGAGCAAATAATAGAGATCTTCCAATGACACGATTTGCTGATGACTTTTTGATGTTGTTGATTCGTTTATCTCTTTCTTTTCCAAGTTTATGTGTATCAGTGGTCACAATCAACTCAGCTCCAATGTTGCTACGTGTCTTCATTCATCTACTGCCCACATCAGTATCATAGTGTTACAATGCTAGGGAGGAACAACGTACGGTTGTCCTGCATATCGTATTAGTCTTCATCTCTATTCCAACAAAATGGATGTTTTTTATTTTAAAAAAAGGGCAATTATACACAATTTTAAAGTCTTAAAAAAATTGCTGGATCTGCCCGGAAATATTTTTTTTTGTGGAAGGGCAGCTTCTTTTTTGTTTTCTTTGTCATTGCGGATTGTGATCATCTTCTCAGTGTTTTCACTGTGCTGTGAGTGTCGAGGTCGCGAGTGCGTGAGCAAGGTTTTCGCCAGCAGACGCGTAGGGTCTGCTGGGAGTTGTTTGGTGTGAGATGAAGCGGGAACAATTCTACCAGCAGTAGGGGTATCGCCTCGTTCGTACCCTGTACCTTTTGTGTACAGCGTACGGCTGATGTACACTACTGCTTCTATTTAGCAAGCTTTTTTTTTCTCCTCTCTATTGTATATGATATCTTAGAGATAACCTGGCTTTTGTTGTGGAGATTTTATTGCTCCCACGTTATAAGTATTTTTAATGTTCATACATTTTATAAACAACAGATAAATACCCCAAATCTAATAGGCAATGATGTTGAGATAAAGTTTTTATCATGTATGATAATTGTTCCATATAACAGCAACCCCCCCTCCCCCCAAGACTTCCAGCGCCCCTCTTTAACCCCCCCCCCATGTTTTAGGCACAACACGCCTACTAAACATATATGCAATTCCATTTTTTATTCACTCCACACTATTTGTGGATACTATACAATTGTTCATCTATGGTAGAACATGTTATGCGAATCATGACAGACAACTGAACAGAAGGATCCGAACCCCGGTCCCTTACAGAGAATGTTTGTTGAACCTAGCCTGTAGCTGTTATATACCCTAGCGTGTGTTCATTTTCTGGGCACACATGTCGAGAAAGGACACATCGGTTTTATTGATTTTCTTTTTCAGTTCAAACTCGTATACTATGAAAAAACACAACTACAGTATTTAGATTTTAAACGAATAGTTTCATCCTTTTGAGTAGTAGAATTCTAGGTTCGTATTGCTTTTCTCGGTATAGACGGGACATGAAATAAGTTTATAGTAGGATCCATTTCTTGTGTAGGTTTTGTTCTTCTCTGTTTTTCCCCCAGTGCGCTAGGCATTCTCTTATTTTAACTCTTCAGTCTTGACAGCGTTATACAAGGGGACACGGGTCAGTATTCCTTAACATAAGTGGCTTCTAATTCAAATTAAATAAAAAGTAATTTCGCTGATTCCAGTTTTCCCTTAACTTTTGATGTTTTCTCGCATTCGAGTTTTTGAGTCCAGTTCACTGTGAAATCCCACTTTTTATGTACGTTAGTTGTTTCGATAGTTCTTTTCAATGATCCGTGTTTTTTAATTGTTTGGTGTTTATTGTTTTTTTTAAAAACAGTTTTTCATTTCAATTCCATTCCAATGTTCGATCATATCAGTCGGTTGGTCACCTTAGGTAGATTTTTACACTCTCCGTAAGACCAGGTTTTCATCTGATCTCATAGTTTGTTTCGGTTCTTTTTTTTTCTCAAGCAAATAAGAAAAAAACCCACTAAATCCCAATTTTTAAAAAAATATTTTTTTTCTTACTGTACTTAACTCCACTCTTAGTTAGACTTTGGTTTTAATACTAACAGTTAAAAACCTACCTATGCGTGTTTAATTACATTTAATTCTACTAAATATTCTGTCTATTTTGTGTGCTTCTGCCTTTTTCGTTAGATTTTCAACGTTTATTCACTTTTTTTTATTACGCTTAAACACTTAGTTTTCGACCCCTATTCTCCACCCCCTAACTTGATCTTATATACCTGCTTTTTTTGGTTGGTGTTTCTGGCTTAGAGTGCTCATTATATACGCACTCACCTTATACTAAAAAAAGAAGACAAAAATACTAAATTGATTAGCTGTCTGTTGTTTTTGCATCATGACGCTATCAAAGGCTGTTGTCAAGTTTATTAACAGTAGTTTGGTTGTATTGCAATATTTGTACTTTTACATGTGAAAACATTTACAAAATAAAACAAAAAATATGGCCACCCTGAGTTGTGCTTTGTATTCCATGCTCACTCTCCATTTTTTTGTTTTTTTGTTTTCGCGCGCACCTCTCCGTGCGCCACATCCGGTTCACTGACCCAGTTCTGTGGTAGCTATAGATAGGCGAATGAATGTCAATAACCCATATGTTTTGCTGTGGTCAACTCTTGCACACACTAATCCCTGTCTGAGATTAGCCTTTAGACGCTTTCTTCTGCACAACGTCAACGTCACAGAATCGAGGCCATTCTGGAAAGGCGTGTCTGTCACTTCTAGTACCGAATTGACACGTGCAAATCATCAAGTACTCAATGTTAAGGATTTAAAAAATACATTGGGCTAATACGAGTCCATAGCCAAGATTTTAATGACACAGTTTTAAAGAAAAATCTTGTAAAATTATTATAAGCTTTCTGCATTCAACATACAAAGCTGCATTCAAAACTACAACAAAACGTTGCTAGGCAACAATTTTAAAGTTTTGTAAAATTACCAAATATTAACTCGCGTCCTGACGACTACAAAAACTTAACTACGTCTATAAATCCAAACACATTTTCAGGCTAATCTTCTCTACGAACAGTAGACTTCTGCTCTCTCCCGCACCACCCCACCCCCATCCGCTCTAACCTAGATCCCTAGCCAGGATTAACCAGCCGTAGGCAAGCAAGCTAACTCACGTAACTCGCTATTTCCCTCGCAGATGCTGGCCCCCAGTGCAGATTCCTGCAACACAGCCGAGCGTAACCTCGATTTGGCAACGCTTCAAAATTGAGAAGAAGATGAGACAATGTACTGTACTCAAATTTGGTCGATTTAAACAGCCACAATCTTTTTTTATATTTAAAATCCAATTTTCACTCTTTTCAGAACACAATCGCAAAAAAAAAAAAAAAAAAAAAAAAAAAAAAAAAAAAAGTTAAAATGATTATATGGATATATCAGGGGTCGGCAACCTGCGGCTCGCGAGCCGCATGCGGCTCTTTTGATGTCGAGGTGCGGCTCTTCAGTTCAATGGACAAATATTAATAATTATTTTATTTTCTTCTTGAAACTAATAAAAATATTAGTCTGCAACACTCGGTAATGAACGATTTAATAAATAAAAACAATAAACACTCGCTATTCTATTTTGAATTTGACATTTTATTTTCGCAAATATCTCCCCATGAGTATTCTCAACAGCTTCCTAAAGTTTCATGGCGATCGGATGAAAGGTGTAGTAATGAATAAAAGACAAAAAGACACACACACACTTACAGACTACATACATTGATATATATATATATATATATATATATATATATATATATATATATATATATATATATATATATATATATATATATATATATATATATACCTAATCCTAATCAAAGATCATAATATTAAAATAAAAATGTTAGTGGCTCTTTAAAAGCTGGGAAATTTTGAAAATTGTAACTTTTGGCTCTTCCGACTCAAAAGGTTGCCGACCCCTGGGATATATTTATCAAGTAAATTTCTTGATTTTCATTATTTTCTAAAAATTGTGACAACTTGCTAAAAGCGTTAGCCGAAAAGTAATTTGTTATGAGAAGTTTGATCCAAGTGTTTAAAAGTAACGTGCTCTTTCGCCTTTATACCAACGCTACAATCATCAAAGGATTCAAAGAACTCTAAATACATCTCATAACGATTTACACTACTTAAACTATCACTTTAAATTTGTCATTGTGTTCAATGGCAAAAGATTTCTCACCAAAAATAAATGAAGAGGATCTAAGTTAACAAGCAGAATGTGATTATGTACAGCTGTTCAGTCTCAAACTGTTGCATCCAATGTTTCTTTCACACTTTTTCTCCGGGGGGTTGGGGGGGGGGATGCTATTGAAAATTTCAGGCGGGGTGCGGACATAGGTAAATATATATTTTTATATAACTTCTATTTGCTCGTGGGGGCATGGGAAAGGGAAAGAGGCGGTAGACGTGCTTCCTCACCTGCCACCCCCCCCCCCCTTGAAAAAATGCCTGAAAGAAACACTGATTGCATCAGCAGATTATCCGTAACAATCAGAGAAAAATGTTTCCAATTACATTTTTATCGAGAAGTTCAAACAATGTGCAACAAGTTCGATGAAAATACAGCGCTGGAGTAGTTTAAAAAACTCAGACAAATGAATTGTAATCAGGCAAAAAATTATTGATTGTACAATAGATAAATAGCACTGCTGTTAGCAAAATGGCTATATATATATAAATATATATATATATATATATATATATATATATATATATATATATATATATATATATATATATATATATATATGTAGGCTATATAATAT